GTGCATGTATATGTGTACACACACTGTACACATGTACACACAGTAAGAGGCACAGACCTTTGTGCATGTGTGTACACACACTGTATACTCACACATACATAGATATTAAGGAACACAGACCTGCGTGTGTATCTGTGCATGTATGTGTGTACATGCACTGTATACGTGTACACACAATATTAATGGGCACAGACCTGTGTGTCTATGTGTGTGTATATATGTGTGCACACACAGTATACTTGCACACACACACAGACTTCATTGGTTCTGTTTCTCAGGAGAACCCTAAAACAGGATATTCTGAGATGCTCTCAGGAATCTCCCAGCCTTGTGAAATCTCACAGGGCAGTATTGGAGTTCGTCTGGGCCGTGCATGTAAAGGCGTCCCCTCCAGGACTTGAAGTTCCTGACCTGGGCAGGGAGGGTGAGAAGGGAGGTGGCCCAGTGCCTGCTGCCACTCTGCTGCCGTGCCCCCCTGAGGCCCTAGCCCCGCAAACGGTGAAGCGGGAATGATGAGCTTCCCGTGGAAGCCCCAGAGACAGGGTCCCGGCTGCAGTTGTCTGAGCTCCGCTTCTCTCTGACGTTGTTTATTCGCTTTTTTCATTTCCAAGTCTAATTTTCCCAAGGTGGGGAAGGCTGGTCTCTTGTGATCAAATATAAAGTCTTGGTTTGCACTGTAGCAAGGGGAGATTTCTCAGGAGGAGGCAGATTTACCTGCATGTCACAATGCTGAGGTCTGCTTCATCCACGGACTCCACGGCTCCACCCAGAACCTCCCCAGAACCAGGGGACCACACATGTATCACCGCCCACGTGACCCAGCACACCAGCACCGTGCTTCTACCTTGGAGCATGGCGGGAGAAATGGGACAGCTGACCCCCAGGGCCTCGTCCTCTGAGAAGGTCTCACAGAAGTCCTGCAGCAAGACCATCCCTAGGCCTTGGCCTCGATGCTGCCGCCGGATGAAGACAGTATCGAAGACAGGGAGCAGGTAGCACATTCCACTGCCATCACCACACAGGCTGCCTGTGGGGAGGAAGGTTGTATAACTTCCCTGGGCCTGCTACTGACCCACCCCAGCACCCCCAAACCCCCGCCTCCAGCGATGAAAGAACAGACCCTTTCCATCCACCGGTCCTCCAGCTGATGGCCTTCTAAACAAAAGCTTCCAACCCCATGTTATTCATGGTGACCTGGAGTCCGGGGGACTTCCCTACAGAAACCAGCAGGAGAGCCGGGGGGGGGGGGGGGGGGGCAATATACAGGGGGGTGCGCAATGGGAATGACCTACACCTGGGTTGTAGTGAGGGCTGCAAAGTTCTCCAGAGTTCTCTAAAGCATTACATTGGACACTGACAACTGGCAAATAGTATAGTATGTAAAACTACCAAAATACAAATGTTTGATGAGAAAAAAAATGCAATGCTTACAAAAAATAACAACACAGTATGGAATGGTAAAAAAAATAAAATAAAATAACATAACACGGCGTATGGAAGGTAAAAACAGAAAATTTATAGTGAAGAGGGAGTCCTGGTGTGGCGCTGTAGGATGAGCACCTGACTCAAGGTTGGTTTGAACTGCAAGGTCAGTGGTTCAAACTCACCAGCTGCTCCTCCAAAACTTTATACCAACTCCTGATGTGGCACTATTGGACTGCAAACTACAAGGTCCCAAGTTCAAACCCACCAAGTGCTCCTCACTAACCTTATACAGGGTTCTATGGGTCAGAACCGACTCGATGTCACTTAGTAGCAACAGATAGATAGATAGATAGATAGATAGATAGATAGACAGATGATAGAAAGAAAGAAAGAAAGTTAGATAGATAGATGATAGAAAGAAAGAAAGATGGATAGATAGATAGAAAGATAGATAGATGGTAGATAGATAGATGATAGATAGATAGATACATACATAGATACATAGATACATAGATGAAAGATAGATAAACAGATACATGTAGACTCCTGGTGTGGCACTGTAGGATCAGCACTGGACTATGAACCACAAGGTCAGCAGTTCAAACCCACCTGCCACTCTATGAAAATCTTATACAGGGTCGATGAATCAGTTCTGACTTATAACAACCCTTTAAAGGGATTCTGAGGAGTGGCTGGTGGGTTTGAACTGCCAACCTTGTAATTCAAACCAACCTTGCGGTTCGGTTTTTATCCAACAGTGCCATACCAGGACTCCTAACAACATGGTGTGGTTGTTGTTAAATGACATGGAGTCGGTTCAGACTCATAGCGACTCTGATCCATAGAAATATTTTGTTTCTCCAAAAACAAGCTAATACAGAAATAGGTAGTCAAAAATGTTGAAATTGGCAACGTATACCTGAAGATCTTTTTAAAGTGTTGAAGAGCAGAGATGTCAGCTTGAGGACTAAAGTGCACCTGACCCTAGCCATGGTATTTTCAATAACTTTTTTGGCATGCAAAAGCTGGACAGTGTTAAGGAAGACTGTAGAAGAATTGATGCTTTTGAGTTATTTTGGAGGAGGATATTGAAAATACCATGGGATGCCAAAAAAACAAACAGATCTGTTTTGGAAGAAGTGCAGCCAGAGTGCTGTTTGGAGTCCAAGATGGCCAAACTTCGTCTCTCATACTTTGGACATACAGTCAGGAGGGAACAGTCACTGGAGAAGGATATCATGTTTGGTAAGGTAAAGGGTCAGAGAAAAAGAGGAAGACCCCCCAGTGAGATGGACTGGCCAAGTGCAGCATCAATGGGATCAAGCGTGGCAACAATAGTGAGGTTGGCCCAGGATCAGGCAGTGTTTCATTCTGTTGTGCATAGGGTGACTATGAATCGGTACCAACTCGGTGGCACCTAACAACAACAACGACACCTGAAGATTTGCTTTTAAAACCTAATTTTCTTGAGGTTTGATACTTTTTTAAACCAACAAAAATGCCAAGTAACCAACAGTCAACTGCCACTTAAAAAGTCAGTTCATTAAGGAAGCAGATGTGGCCTGCTTCAGGTAACTCTCTGCCAAATACAGGCAGCAGAAGGAAGAGAAATTCAAACACCAAGTCTGGGCTCTTCAGCCTAGCACAGGAGGACCCTCCTTCCACTCGGAGGCTCTCCTCCTGCCCTGGCCAGAACAGGCAGCCACCGGCTGCTTCATCTCCCAAGGACCTCTCTAGCTCTTCATCTGGAGTATCCACAGGGTCAGAGAAAGCCAAATTCGAGATCTTTCTGCTCCCTGACTCTCAGGCATCAAATTGGCATCTGTTAATAGCTTTTGTTATTTGTAGTAGGAAGGTCTATGGAACAAACCACCACCTGTGTTTTGTTTTATTGTATATGTGATGTTAGAAGTCATACCACCAGGGTCACCCATGCTGGGCAGGTTTCAGCAGAGCTTCCAGACTAGGAAGAAAGGTCTGGCTATCTTTGTTTCTGAAAATTAGCCATTGAAAAACCCCCGACTCAAAAGTCAACATTGGCCTTAATGGAAAAAGACTCCAAGCTCTCCCCTTGAAATCAGGAAGAAGAAAAGAGTGTCAACGTCTATTCAATGTTATATTAGAAATCCTAGCCAGAGCAATAAGACAAAATGGAGTCAGATTTCCATATCAGCACTGAGAGCTCTAAAAGAAAAATCAAGGACATGATTCCATTGCAATAGCATTTAAAAGAATCACGTAGCGAGAAATAAATATAGCCAGGAATGTGAAGAACTTCTACAATGAAAATCGTGAAATATTGTTGACAAGATTAAAGAAGACTTAAATAAATGAAAAGATGTTCCATGCTCATGGATTAGAAGACTTAACATTAAGATATCAATACTATGTAAAGCCACCACTCATCTGTCAGTTTGTCCTACTGTGGTGACTTATGAGTTGCTGTGATTCTGAAAGTTCTGCCACTGGTATTTTAAATACCAGCAGGGTCATCCATCGTGGACAGGTTTCAGATGAGCTTCCAGATGAAGACAGACTAGGAAGAAAGAGTGATGAACTACTTCCAAATATTTATTCACTGAAAATCTTATGAAGCAGAAAAACACTGTCAGATATTGTGCCAGAAAATGAGCCCCTCAGGTTGGAAGACACTCAAAATGCGACAAGGGAAGAGCTACCTCCTCAAAGTAGAGTTGACCAGGATGATGCAAATGGAGTAAAGCCCATGGGAGAAAAGCCCAATAGGGCACAACTCAAAATGAAGAGAAACAGCTGTAAATATCCATTAATAATCAGAACATGGAATGTACAAAGTATGAATCTAGGAAAATTGGAAATTGTAAAAAATGAA